TTTTTTTTTTTTTTTTTTTTTTTTTTTTTTTTTTTTTTTTTTTTTTTTTTTTTTTTTCTATTTCCTTGGACATATGACAAATAATGGTTAATACTGATTTAATCGAGTGAAACACAAATGTTAGAGCCAATCGCATGTCCTTAAGGAACATACCGCTCCTCAATGGTCCAGTCGTATACACACAATAAATCAACATTTATCGTTGCTCTATCCCGTAAGAAAAACTGGAAACTATAATTTTTTACCTTCTCACATAGATGGTTTTGGATTTTGCATGTCTTTCATGTTTATCTCCAAGTTATTTTTAAAATCGTTGCTCGATTTCAACGGGAAGAATTTCGTCGCCTCGTTGCTTCCAAAGAAGAGAACGAAAGGAGAACAAACGGGAAGAAAAAAAGAATTCAGCGAGAGCGCATCGGAGCTTAGTTTTCTAAGAATCAAAGCCGAGCACGCGTCTAACGAAACGCCGCCTCGTGAACTTTCACTCGTGTACTCAACCACTGTAACAGCGCCGTAGAAAAATTAATTGCGTTAAAAAAGAAGTATCAAAAGACTACGAATAATTATCGAATTGATTTTTCGAAGACACGTTTTTCATTCGTTACTTCTTTCTACATGTTTTCTCTACTTCCCCCCCCCCCTGCCCATTTCATTCGCTGAAGAGAGATAATTTTTTTTTTTCATCGCTCGCGCAATTCACAACTGCCATTATACTTTAAAACGCCAACAAATACCAGCTAAGTATAATACGCGCGAGACAATGTCCTTTTCTTTTAATTTAACTACAAAAAGGAGGAAGGGGGGAGGGGACCAAGTGGGCGAGAGAATATATGATCAATGCGAGTTTTACGTTTTTTCTTTACTATACAGTCTATCTCGACATTATGCGCTGATGGGATACCATTCAATCCCTTAGTCACTTAGAATCGCTGCAAGTGCCAATTCCTGTAATTATACATTTTTCTCACGCGCAGCGCTTAAACATTCAAATAATGGACACTGCGAGTGAAAGCTCAAACCAAGTTTCAATTATTATGCTTCTAAGCCTTATCGATTTACTATTTGGTATTTTGACGATACGGATCGCTTTGTTGCCAACAGTTTAGTATATGTGTATGCAACGAGAGTAGTGGACGAGTTGAGAAACCTCCGCAATTATTGTTTTGGCAGGAAAAGATAATTCATTCATGTGTTTACCTACTTTTTTTTTCGTTTTTTTTTTTCGTTTTTTTTTTGACCTTTTCTTCCTCCTATCCATATTTCTTTGTTTTTTTTGACATTGTTCCGATTTATCATTGCCGGTCTGTAGCGTATTCGATACAAAAGTTTTATGGCATTGTGTGTCAAACAATAATTCTAGTAACTTTTGATCAATTAAATTTAAAATTTCGTGCACTTGATTGGATAGAAAAGAAAAAAAAAAATTATACATTGCTGAAAACTTTAATTTCCTTATTAAATATTATTAAAACTCTAAAACGATTTGCAAAATGCAAAGTGCACGTTTCATTTATTCACTGGACAAACACGAATGTGGATAACGTTACCAGGGCCCCTTAATCTCGCACCATCTGTTATTACAGCTATACGCAATTTTTTTTTCATTATTTTTTTTCACAATTACTCATCGCTTTTTGACTAGCTGCCACAAACACAACGTACTTTCCACACAATATTTTTCGAACCGCTTCGTTTCTTTCACTCCCACACTGACTGAAGTAAAAATATGTCACCAAAGCGAGTACTGGACAAATTTTTACCTTGCAAAAACAGTGAAAAGAAAAAAAAAAAAAAAAAAAAAAAAAAAAAATTAATGGCAGTGATGGAAAGTATAATGCTGGGGATGAAAAATACGTCGTTCTGCTTATTATGTTTCAGTCGAGCGTTTGCAGCTTATTTATTTATAATATTATGGCTATACGGCAAAACAGAAACGTTTGTAGCACGTAACACGCTGCTATCTTTACTCTTCCTTAAAATTCATTTACTATCATTTCAAATCACGCGCATAAAAATGTTATACAACAGAAAAGAATTAAGTTTTATTTTCAATTTTATCATTTTTACAACGAGTACGTACTGTTTGCGCGAAGAGGAAGAGTACAAGGTCAAGCCTAGATCTTGTTATTTACAAAAAGTTCATAAAAAAAAAAAAAAAAAAAAAAAAAAAAAAAAAAAAAAAAAAAAAAAAAAAAAAAAAAAA